CTCGCTGTTTGGATTCCAAGGTTAAACAAGATACTTCTGGGGATGGATAGGGCATAGGCTCCGAAGAGTCCCGACCATATTGATTGAAATCCCCAGGGGAAAAGGTAGCGTGGCCGTCTTCGGTAAACGTGGCGTCGTACTGTGTTAGCAGAAGCGGCGGGCATTGGAATGACGTGGAGCGAGGTGAAGCGAGAAGCTCTAGACCGATCGAGATGGAGAAGATTTGTCCCTCTGCCCCATCTAAGGGACACAGGACTATAACTTATAATTACATTATTTAAATATATGTATATACAATATAGATTCAGTTCTTAAGTATCTCGTAAATTATTCAGTGATGCTTATTTGCGTAATCGTGATTTTATTAAGGTTTTTATAGAAACTATTAATAAATTATTATGGCTACACGTGTTACAGAATAAATACAATACAATTATAATGTAATTAATGTTCAGTAATAAAAATAAGGCCACTGTTCTTGATGACTAAGTGAGTGACAGACTGTACACATCTGTAACTACTGCGCGTAGCGAGCTGTGTGACATGTAGCGCGCTAGGGGAGTGTAGGGGAGTGCTGAGAGAGTGACAGACTGTACACAGCTGTAAATACTGCGCGTAGCAAGCTGTGTGACATGTAGCGCGCTAGGGGAGTGTAGGGGAGTGCTGAGAGAGTGACAGACTGTACACAGCTGTAACTACTGCGCGTAGCAAGCTGTGTGACATGTAGCGCGCTAGGGGAGTGTAGGGGAGTGCTGAGAGAGTGACAGACTGTACACAGCTGTAACTACTGCGCGTAGCAAGCTGTGTGACATGTAGCGCGCTAGGGGAGTGTAGGGGAGTGCTGAGAGAGTGACAGACTGTACACAGCTGTAACTACTGCGCGTAGCAAGCTGTGTGACATGTAGCGCGCTAGGGGAGTGTAGGGGAGTGCTGAGAGAGTGACAGACTGTACACAGCTGTAACTACTGCGCGTAGCAAGCTGCGTGACATGTAGCGCGCTAGGAGAGTGTGAGTTGAGAAAAATATCATCATCACGAGCCTATGCTGGACTATGCCTTCTCTATATCAGAAGGATTTACATTATCTCCACGCTCGCCATACAGGACGTTCAAATATTGGGCGCAATACCAGTAGCCTCAGAGCTAGATTACCGAGTATGTCATCAGACAGGCTGACGTACTCATGTAGGTTTTTCCTATTACTTAATATAAGCTTTAAATCTTTTATATAAACTAAACTATTATGTATATATACACAAGTAAACTTAGCAGTCGTTAATTAAGAAACAGTCGGATTAAAACTAGTTTTTTTTTTAAGTTATTTATACTCAAGTTTACGACGACAAACTTAATATGTCTGTACAGGAAATATGAATATAAAATGGACAAAATAGTTGCGAACCAAGTTTTCCACATAACCTTCAGTAGAAGCCAGACATATTTCTGTGCTGCCGTCATGTGAACAGCAGCTCATGTGGTGTAGATGTCCAGTCAACAAGGATGTAGCGAGGTTGACTGTCCAGGCGACACACGTACTTAGGTATCGTCATGAGCTAATGTTCACATGTAAACAGCAGCTCATGTAGTGTAGATGTCCAGTCAACAAGGATGTAGCGAGGTTGACTGTCCAGGCGACACACGTACTTAGGTATTGTCATGAGCTAATGCTCACATGTAAACAGCAGCTCATGTAGTGTAGATGTCCAGTCAACAAGGATGTAGCGAGGTTGACTGTCCAGGCGACACACGTACTTAGGTCTCGTCATGAGCTAATGTTCACATGTAAACAGCAGCTCATGTGGTGTAGATGTCCGCGCTGGTTAAAATTACTTGGCTTTATACTAAAGAGCAATAAACCATTTATTAACATGTTAAAATTAACTTACAACGTTAGATACATAGAAATTAATATATATGTATTGTAATGTGTAAGTAGATTACCATTTTATCTCGCGATGAACGTTACAATTATAGTAACAATTGTTTGTATGTTAACTCGTCGAGTACCGTCATTATAGACACAATTATAGAACAATAGGTTGCGGTCGCCGGTGTCCGCTTGGTGTTTGACAGTTTAATTAGACTCGTATGTTAAGACAGGCGTGACCGTTGAGAATAGGGTCGGACAAAGCGTTATTGAGGTATTGTTTAGGCTTTTAGAAAAAAGAAAACTACTACATAAATAACTAAATATCGCGTGTTACTCTCGTGAATATACTGAGAAAAGCTCTACTAGTTTCTAGTTCTAATAACA